TTAGATAACCATCTAGCTGGGGTCATCTAGACCCAGCACACTTTCCTTGTCTTTCCTTGAGATGGTCAGCATGCAGTCAGAGCAGAGGTGGCCAGATGGTCCACAAACAGCACCTGAGTCTCACTAGTTTCAGAGCAGATATGAACTGAGTCTCCTGAGTGCAATGGGGAGACAAAGACTTCTGTAGACTTTTTTTTTTTTTTTAATTTGCTGTGATCCAAGCCAAATCAGCCAAATAAAGGCCAAACCCATGAGTCAGTCCAGAACCATAAGTGGCCCTACCACGACAAACATCCTCCGCCCTGATCTGGGATACAGATGTTCCTAACACCTTTGGCGGGCATCCTACTTGCAGGAAACCCCTGAAGGCTTTGGGGTTTGGACATGTTCAAGTTTGGTTCTGCGCTGACTTGCAGATTTGGGATTGATTTGGCTGATTTGGCACTTTGTAGCACTGCTCAGGAAGACAGGAGCCAGAGCCCTGGCATGGGAGACCTGCAACTGGTCCTGATCCCTGTGGGGAGCGACCCTGTTTGTAGTGGCATCAGCACAGAGCCGGGCTGTGTCTACCCCTGCCCTGCAAGCTCTGCCCTGGGCCCCACGGGAGGCACATTTACATAGAGCTGCTGCTTTGCATAAGGACAGCGCCCTGCTCCGGGGAGCAGCTATAAAGGGGCCGGTTTAACACTTGGTGTCTCTCAGCTCCGTGTCAGTCGGTGCAGAAGCAGCAAGATGCTGTGGCAGACTCAGCTCCACATTTACACAGAGCTGCTGCTTTGCATAAGGACAGCGCCCTGCTCCGGGGAGCAGCTATAAAGGGGCCGGTTTAACGCTTGGTGTCTCTCAGCTCCGTGTCAGTCAGTGCAGAAGCAGCAAGATGCTGTGGCAGATTCAGCTCCTCTGGCTCCTTGTGCTCTGGGCAAAGGGTAAGGGCAGCAGGACAGAGCCTGGCGCAGACAGTTTATTTGTTCCTGAAACTCGGGCAGTGTATAATGGCTCTGAATGCCATGGAGGAGTATCCCATGGTCAATTTAACTAATTTTAAAAGTAAATGGGGGATATTAAAAGTAAATGTGTGATGGGGGAAATGTCCCTTTGCTAATCTCCATCACATTTTGCTTCTTGACGTGTTCTCTACACATTAATAATTTCCCCTCATGCAGGCTCCAGCGGAGACATCCTTGTGACCCAGACTCCAGAAGCTGTGGTTGTGTCCCCGGGAGATACAGTCACCATCAAGTGCAAAACCAGCTCCAGTGTTAGCAACTGGATGAACTTCTACCAGCAGAAACCAGGGCAGGCTCCAAAGCTCCTTGTCTACAAAACAAGCAACCGCCCCTCGGGGATCCCCGACCGGGTCAGTGGCAGTGGGTCTGGCACCGACTACACTTTCACCATCAGCCGGGTGGAAGCTGGGGATGCTGGAGATTATTACTGTCAGCAGGCTAGTAGCCCTCCCACAGTGCTACAGCCCCGTACAAAAACCTCCCTGCTCTGCTCAGTCCTGCTGCTCCCGGCACCAGCTGCTTCCTGCCCAGCCACAGGCCAGGGACTCTCCTGCCCCGTCACAGCGTGAACAGGGGCTGAGCTTGTTTAGGGCTTTTCCGCATCACTTCTCCCCTCAGTCACAGATCTCTGTCCTGGCCCCACAGACCTCCCACCCAGTGACTCCTGCCACACTGCTCAGCCTTCTCCTTTGCATTACTCAGGCTTATTTGCCTGGAACAAACCATACAATTTACCCGTGAGATTTTCTGCTCCCTTAGGCACAAGTTTTATTCATCCTCTGACATATGCATGTGGATCAGGTAGACATTCCCTGTCTTAGCCTAGACTTTCATGCTGAGAGGGGCCAGGCATGATTGTGCTGTGCTGCCTTGATGCCTCCAGCTGATCCTTTGCTTTTCCAGGCTAACGAGGCCAAGGACAGGGGGGAGTTTCAAGCTTGTGAAGCAGTAAATGGAGAAGTCTGTGCCCTTCCTCAGGGCTATGTATACCATTCTCCTCTGTGCTTGTGTCCCACCAAAGGAATTGAAAGCAAATCCTCACTCCCTGCCAGAACCGTGTCCCCCTGCCTGGGCACAGAGCCAGTTTCCCTCTTACTTGTTCCCCTTCTCTTCCTATGAACCTTCCCACCTCCGTGTCCCAATGGCTCAGCTCATGCAGAAAGGCACCAGTCATCCTTTCCTGGCCTGTATCCTGTGCTTGGGATGAGAGACAGCAGGGTCCCTGTCATTCTTAGGGGAGATATGGGCCCAAAAATCATTTCCTGGAGAGATGCCTTCACCAGCAGCCTCCTGGGCAAAGGTGAGTGCCTGCCCCTGCTGTGAGCTGTGTCACCCCGGCAGTCTAAAGCAATGGAAAAACATCTTCCATGCAAACATGGCCCTGCCCTCTCCCCAGGGAGACACTGCATCAAACACATCCCTGTCCAGGAAGGAGGCTGAGAAGAGACTGGGTTTCATTGAATCTGCACCTTCCTATTGGTAAAATACTACATACGAAAGGTATCCTAACAGGGAAAGCTAATTTGGAAATAATCTGGTTAATCTAATGTCACCTTCTGGCCAGTAGAGAGGAGCATGAGACTGCTAATTCTTGCTCGAGATATTCTCAGTATAATCTTATTATGATAACGCAAGACAACTGCAGGAAGTCTGTCCCCAAATCAGATCAGAGGTGATATGGGGCCAGGAGCTCCATGAAGGATGGCTGTACCAACATCCCACACCAGGATGGCATCCAAGCCTGGCTTACATATCTACAGGAACAAGATTACAACCCAGAATACAGACCCAAAGATATTACTGACCTTATACACTTCATCCTCACACTCAACAATTTCACTTTTAATAATCAACACTTCCTCC